TTTTTTTTTCTCCAATTTTTTTATTTGAAAGTTAAGTCTGTTATTTGAACCGCATATAATAGTTCAGCTAATACCGTGTAGTTAATAAGAGATTAGTGTTTGGTGAGAGTTGGCAAGAACTAGAAATCTCCATGTGAAACCTCACCTTGAAGATTCTTTGAAGTCTAAATCTCTAAGAATTTTGGAAGAAAGTTAACAAACACTTGACTGATCCAAGAGAAAAACCTAATTTTAAATTATTTTATAAATCGATTGTGAATTGCAAATCCAGAAATCATTGAAAAATCTCAAGGTCACTCTCCCCTCCAATAATGATTATTATATAATAAAGCATATCCCTTAGTGCCTCGTAAATGAAGCAACTATCATCTCACAACAACAGGTTACAAAGAAACCTAGCTAGGGTTTATGGTTCTCATCAGAAACCCATTCCTCCCATGCCTCCCATTCCGCCCATGCCGCCGCCACCCATACCCGGAGAAGCTTCCGGCTCTTTCGATGGAATCTCAGTCACAACAGCTTCAGTTGTCGTCAACAGAGACGATACACTAAACCAATAGAACAAACAAGGAAAAGGATTTAGCAAAAGCATTTCAATACTAAACAAATTTATGAAAAATTTCCAAGTTCTGTGTACCTTGCTGCATCAACCAAGGCGGTTCTGATCACTTTCAAAGGATCGATAATACCGGCCTTTACCATATCAACATATTCTCCTGAAAATAATTGCGAAAAGAAGTCAGTATATACTATATAGTGAAATAACAAGGTGGTACAAGAGCGATAGAAAACGAATTTCTTTGATGCATATAAAAGTGTAACCTTTAGCAGCATCATAACCAAGGTCATAATTATCCTGCTCTAAAAGCTTTCCTACAATAACTGCACCCTCAACTCCCGCATTTGAGGCAATCGTGTGAACAGGCATCTACATCAAGGAAAGGTTTGTGAGTAAGATTTTACAGAAGGATTTTGCTAGAAGATGAAGAATGTTATGAGAGAAAAACCTTGAGAGCGTTTTGAATGATCTGGACACCGATTTTCTGATCAAAGTTAGCTGTGGAAAGCTTCTCAAGTTCTTTTGACGCGTACAAAAGAGCAACACCACCACCTGTAATTCGCACAAAGTAATGTACTTTTCATGCAGCTTTTTCAAAATAACTCTTAAAAGTTTTCTTAGGGAATTCAGATAGTTTTTACCTGGAACAATACCCTCTTCCACAGCTGCTTTGGTGGCATTTAGAGCATCGGTTACTCTATCTTTCTTTTCGCTAACTTCTGTCTCACTCGCTCCTCCGATCTAAAGGCCCATATGAACATCCCATCATTTGTTAAGCGTCAATAAATTTTCCGTCCATTAAAGTGCCCCAACAGAGATGCTAAGAGAGCAGATTCATTTACCTTTAGTACAGCAACACCACCAGAAAGCTTAGCCAACCTTTCTTGTAATTTCTCCTTGTCATATTCAGACGTGCTCTCTTCAGCCATGGCTCGTATCTGTGTGATTTATTTAGATTTAAAACATGTTTAACATCCTTACCAGTTTGGAAAAAAGAGTTAGAGGCAGATCACTGAATCCCCAACATGACAATAAGTGAGAAATATAAACCAACCTGTTCACATCGTTCCCCAATTGATTTCTTGTCACCAGCCCCATCAAGGACAACAGTATCATCTTTGGAGATAGTTATCTGTTATCAAATGAAATCATGTTATAAGAAAAGGGTAAACGAGAAAAGGAGAACAAGCCAAAGGAATTCGGCCAAACGAACCTTTTTGCAGTTACCAAACATACTGAGGTCGACGTTGTCGAGATTCATACCTAACTCTTCTGTTATCACCTGTAAATTGAAATCATCAAACGAACAGTTTAGCTCATGCAATTGGTGTGAGTGTGATTGTCTTGGTAGATAGTAAAATAGAAACATGGGCCTGCCTGGGCTCCGGTGAGGGTAGCTAGATCGTGTAAATTGGCCTTTCGGTTCTCTCCAAAACCAGGGGCCTTAACGGCACAGACCTATAATGTGATGGCATTTACATCAATCCAAGCAAATTACATTTCTAATAAGACTAGTAATATAACAAAAGGCTGAAAAGAAAAACCTTGACTCCAGCACGAAGTTTGTTCAGGATTAAGACGGCAAGAGCATCACTCTCCAAATCCTCAGCAATGATCAACAGCGGCCTTTGATTCTGAACAAAGGCAGAGAAAATAAATCTCGAACTTCAGATACATAGTAACTTAGTGAATATCAGACATTATTGACATTCAAGAAATCGCCAAATTGTACCTTGAGGGCCAGTTCCAAGACTTTCACCACAGCGTTTAAATTGGAAATTTTCTTCTCATGGATTAGAATGAGAGGATCTTCTAGTTCCTG